CAATAATTAAACCTAATGATTTGGCATGCTCAACCCTGCAAATTGGGTGGCCATCTAATTGGATATTAATCTCACTACAATTTTCTGCAAGGAACTTTTGACGAGTGGACCATCAATAGCATTTAAGTAACATAGGAAATACATTACAAAATTGTCTCAAATACATCCACCATTGTATTTTCCCCCTTCACTTCTTCAGCGCATCTATTCGAAAATTGGCCGGAAACGGACGGAGCGCGCGGCGCAGGCGCCTATCAGCGATTACTCACGGCAAACAAAAATAATAATTCAAGAGGACATGTGCCTACAAAATGTCTCTCATCTCTCTCGTGCTCATTCGGTCGGCGCGTATGTACTTGGGTGTTATTTATCCCTCACCGCCTTTCGCACTTTGTTTTTTTTTTCCTTTTTTGTATGGGATTTTAACGTCATCCCGGCTTCTGACACGATCTCGGCGATATATCCTGAAGGGGAAACCACAGCGTTGTCCTGAGCCACACCAGCGATGCAATTTCCTGTTAATTTTTTTTAAATTTGATTTATCCAATTTAAGTCTAAAATTGATTTTAAGTGTAGAAGCCACCAGATTAAAAAAGGCACATTCAAGTTTTAAGGGGAATAAAAATAAAAACGGAACACGGAAAGTGATAGACATGAAAAAGGGAACGGCGAAGTGAATGTACGTAACGGATTCAAAAGTCACCGCGAAAGTACTAAGGGTCTTGAAACGCAGTAAAACGAGCCAGTGTAATACAAGAGAAAAAACCTTCGTAACAGCTACTAGCCCATCAATCTTTTCAGCATTTTTCATTTCTATCCAAAATAAGCGAACTAGTGTTTTCGTCAAGAGTAACTTGCGAACAGGCCCTCATTATAAGTGCTTTGGTACGAGTGTTTCTTCACCCGCCAGAAAGTATCCGACGACAAGAGGTCAGCAAGGGGTCTAGCACTTTAAAAATAAGTCCAAACCCCTCCCAACTCGTCTCAAATCTTGCCGCTGGCGGAAAAACGCGCTGGCTAGCCAGCCTACAGGCTTGCTCGCTGGCTCTCGAGTATATCCTCATCGAAAAAGAACTTAAAACTCGGAGGCGGAGTATCTCCAGTATGTTCACAATCCTCGGGGAAAGATTATCGCAAAAGAAACATCTTCCACCGTTGAACAATAAAAGGTTATCAGTCAAAGATAGCAAAAAGCCGATTACCAGTACCCCTGGCACTCGCTATAATTTCGGTTATTTCAAAACGACAACCTTTAAGTTAAATGTTATTTTATAACCCTCTGAAAAAGCTGCTTTCTTAGGTGAAGAAGAAGCCATGGAAATATGATAAAAATGACAAGAATAAGAGCTCTTGTCGTAGGAAGTTATTCCTTCTCATTGTTGGTATCTTAACTTAAATTCTATGGAAAGGATGCAGAAGGTTCACGGGAATAATTTTTTTTTGGACCCTGAAAATTTTGAGTAGTTCCGCTTGATCTTCTTTTCATCAAGTTACCAAAGTTGCGACAATGAAAATATTTTTCTGGTATTCACAGTGCGCGAACCACCATGATAACTACTTTGCTTGCGCTCATTATTGATTGTTTTCAACTTTGACCTCACGAGTAGACAACCGTCACAAACGCTTTGAGTGGGGGAGGAAATTTAACAAATTCTATTAACTCTTCTGTCGACACACGCGTACATGCCCTCCAGAAAACTAGAAATTATCAAAGTGGGAGATATTTGCCGCATGGAATTTTGAATAAACCGTTATCTAATTTCCATTAACTAGCTCAAGAATGTAATCCAGACAAAGTCAATTATATTCAAAACCAGGTTCACTGAAATCGCCACGGGAATTGAAATGACTACGACTGAAAGCCTCTCTCCCTCCGGAGGTTTTCCCTGTAATTCCCATGACTGTGACTGAGGCAGAATTTCTCCTTAATAATATCAATACAATATCAAGCAGGAAAGTGATGGGAATAGAGAAAAATATAAATTAAGGAATTATTATTCGATCCAATACCAAGTTCTATGAGCTAACATTGTAAGAATTGCATTGCAGACAGTAAGGAGAATTACTAAATAGACCTTGGGAGAGAAGGGGTTAACAAAGCCTTCTCAGTGCCGTCAATAGCCTTCTCTTTGACCACTCATTTAAGGTTCTACTTTTCAATATATGTTGGTGTCAGTAATTTTGCACAGTGCTGTGCGCGGTCTTAAACCAACCCCATAAAAAGAATAGTTGACACTTTGTTGACACATTTTTTTCATCAGTTGCAATCACCGCAGGATATCGATAATCCTCTCTGAATATAACTTACAAAAAATTAAGAAAAATTGAGAATAATCTATCTTAAGCCTTAGGGTCCACTAAAATAGACCATCGTATTTACTTTGGAAAATAGAGAACAACTTCCCTTCGCGCTGCTTTAAAGGTCAAGGAAAGTCTCACGTATGTTCAAGTGGATCCTTTTCTCTGATACTTACTGAGTCATCAAGGTGTTATGCAGTCACGTATCATTTATTCCTCTAGTAAACATCCTCAGAGATTTACCCAATCTTGATCTCTGAATGATAAGAAAAGAATCGATTAAAGCAGAAGTACTAATTCATCCGTATGGCTCGGTAAAACAACTAAACGTTTTCCATGGGAAGTAGTAAATAGCCTTATCAAGAACTGGCCCAAAACCCAACTTCCCTATCTGATGAAGAGCTAACTCGCGAAATGTCAGCTTTAGAGACTCGTTACGATGGCCAATTCACATTATCATCTCAGTTGATTAAACCAAATTATCTTTGCTATCTACAGTTTGGGAGTATAAAACGGAACAACGCATCATTCTTCACTGTTTTATGTTCCATAACCATTTGTTACTTATCTAAGGAATTTTTGTCAACTGATCCTGAAAAAATGCTCCACGAATTTAACATTCTTGTGAAGAAAATAAGAAAGATAGTAAATTTTAAGTTAAGCCGTCGAAAAAAAGAAAGATTTTACTGGTTTTGTCCATCGCGTGTGACAAGTCTGAGTCCCCCCCCCTCCCAAAACCGGGCTTTCGACCCCTTCTCATTATTCTACTTCATTTACACGCACAACACTTTCGTTTTGATACGACCTTGCCATCGGGTATCGCGCTCCTATGCTTTACCACTGAGTTAGAGAGAACTCGATTGCTACAGGTTAGCTCATTTATTATCAGGTTCATACGTTCCAAGTGTGTGGGGTTCGATTCCCCAACGAAGTTGGTGTCTGGTGACCCTCGGTCTATGGTGAACCCAAACCTAAGGCATTGTAAGTTAGCCATGGGTTTGATCAGACTTGATGTACGGCAGACATTGCACCGTCCTCACGAGAGCTTGGCCGTTCACCTCAAACACACACTCACAAGAAAGGTTCAAGCGTCCTACATAATGCAAGAAACAGCAATGGCATTCCTGTTGCGCTCTGTTGCGCACTCGAGATGTTATCGATGTTTTTTTTTATATATTTGAAGTGTTATTGATGAAGAGTTTATCTCGGAACTATCATTTCTTGAACCAAAAGAATGTCTGGTAGAGATGGTACTATGCTATTTATCTCTTTCTTCTGGGTGGGCGCCCTTAAATCGCGATTGAAAAAATGTCGCAAAAATGATAAAAGAACTCCTATAATGTATATCCACAAGTTTATTCCGGTAATTTGTTGAAATCATATTTCACATGCAGGAAGTAGTTGGCAAACGTGTAAAGACACTAAAAATTGACTACTCCATCAATTAGCGGTCATAGAGTTCTCTCAAGTGGACATGGACAATTATTTGTGTTATGTACCTTTGGCCCTTGCGCGGACAACGAAAGCGCACAGAAATATAATAATGAATTAATATGGTTAGGTTGATCGAGAAGCTAACATAATATAGGGGAGAAACTATGTGGTAATAAACTTTCGGAGATTCTGTAATTAGGAAACAGGTCAGGTTTCTGATGATGTTAATTATAAGATGTTTAGACGGTGTTAACTTTTCACACCCAGGTTCGCGATGGAGACTATGCAGCTTAAGTTATTCCGTGAGGTTGTCGTGGAGAGCGATTCAAGTGCAATAAAGAGTTTCCAATTATTTGAATACTTTCTGCTGGCTAACATAACACTGGTAATGCAAGTCTTTTTTCTTTGGTCTTTCTCTTCACAGTGATAATGTTCCCTCGCATTTGTTTTCCAGCCAAAAAAGCATAACCATAAAAGCTTTCACTATGTCTAGTTTGCAAGAAACATCCGTTTCCTGTAGTCATCTTTCTAGGTATTTGTGTGGGTGATGCCATTCTAGGAATTCGCCTTTTGGTGGTTTGAAAATGATCACTGTTTTTTCGAGACAGACATGTTCCCATTTTTACTTTCTTGGGCTGCGCAACTGAGCAACAAATTAATATTAGCATGATGCCATCCCTTTCTTTTTATC